TAAAATTTTAAGATTTTCCCTGCAAGCTAGCAAAGCATTTTTCCAGCTGATTGTTTGAGATTTCTTCTTTTAAATTACATCAAAAATTTCTCATTAGAACAACCTGAAGATAGGATTTGGACCACTAATTTTCGATGTAATTTTTGACAAACTAATGAACTTCTGCCCATCTTTACTTCTGAGAGGTTCAGACTCTAAAAGTGTTTTATTTTCCCCAGATAGTCCATGTACTTTTTGGTTATTTGTTTTTCATTAAAAAAAAACATATTAAAAAACAAAACACAATTATTCTATTTTAATTTCATACTAAAAAAAAGGTAAAAACGTAGCCTGGTAAAAACCAGCCCCTTGTTCTATGCTTGCTTCATACAGAGGGTTTGGACCCTCGACTATTGAGAAACAATTGCATGCTGGGTAACAATACCCATATTTTTTTCCCCGATATCTGTTTTTAAAATGAAAATCGAATTAACAAGTACACGACCCCAGACCTCTTACTGACCTGTTTCCAATTAACTGCTAATGCATGTTCAGACATCATTTGTTTGTTTTTGTTGCCAGTCCAACTTTTACATGTTAATGACATAAAATTCAGAATTATCATTGTCCCCAAAAAAACTGCTTAGCAAAAAACTGTTTCTATTGTATTTTACACTTCACACTTTTTAAATTGGCGGTTCAAAATAAAGAGGCACTGATTAAATCTTAGCACAGGTATTTATACCAACCAACACAATAACCTCAGTGTGACAACAGAGCAAGACCCAGAAAGCTCCAGGAGCTGCAGGGGAATGTAGGTTAAAGCTAGTTAAAAGATTTGTCTGTTAGCCATCCTCCTGCACGTGCGGCGGCGTGGCCGTCTGGAATCAGGTCGCGACAGTTTGGGAAAACTACGAGTGAGAATTAAGCCTCGCTCTACGCCTCAGGAACGGTTTCAGGGTTTTACGGCTGCAGCAGTATAAAAACACGAGGTCACCAAAGGTTGTTTTGTAATTTATAAACGGGAGGAAAATTAAAACTAAACAGATGGAAAGAGTCAAGATCAGGTAGCAAAGATTAATTTAATTAGAAGGCAGACATCAATATTATATTAATTGTACAGCAAAAATATTACAAACCCCCCCAGTTATTAACATGTTGGGCAGACTGGTTACTAAACTCTTGATTCTGAGTCACTCCTGGAGGCACTTATCCAGTCCTGTTTAGAATTGTGTAACCAATGTGTTGTGAAAATATTTAGTGATATCAAATTCAATAACATTTACTTGGAAGGTTATTAAAATCTACACATGAACGTCATTTGTGTCATAAAGTAGGGAGCACCTGTCCTAAAGTGACAGCCTAAAAGAAGAGTGGACAGAGAAGGACTCAATTAGAAAATGAATTACGTGTCTATGTTAATCTGTAGTTAGACTGGTGACTAAAGCCACTGTTCTGTCAGGGAGACCCACCCTGAACAGGAGCCATGGTTCATTTTCTAACACTTCCGAGGTTTATCTGCAGCCAGACTAAATGTTCTGCGGTTGAGCAGCTTAGTTGGAGCTCTGCTGAACGCCTCCTCTACAGTTTGGCTTTCCCTGGCTGCAGCTGCAGGTTTTGAAGCTTCATGGCCAGGCCCATGTTTCCTGTGATCTTCAGCTTGCCCTGGAAAAATGCCTGGGAATCAGAGGGGATGGGAGGGAGAGGGAGGGAACAAAAATGTCATCAGAAAAGCTTGAAACTGAGGAGAGGAGGGGTGTGTGTGTGTGTGTGTGTGTGTGTGTGTGTGTGTGTGTGTGTGTGTGTGTGTGTG